TACAGTACCGTGCAGTGAAGTATTCGTTTTCACTTTTTTTAAACGTAACTCCCTCAAAACTCAAGCTTTTGTTCCGATTTTTTGTAGGTGAGAACACATCACTCTACCTGATAAGGAAGCAAATCTTCAGTTGTCTAGGTGGCTTCTATACTAATTTAGAAATTTTTAATTTTTTTCGGTCCAATACCATATTACTTGTTCGAAATTCAATCTATCTAAAATTCAAAAATAATAACAAAATGACTTATATAATAACAGACGTAACAACTACAACATGTATGTTCTAGTTGTTCTGAGTACTGTGTAGGCATATGAAACTGACACAAAACATCAAAAACACACGTGCTCTCAACATGGAAACTCATCGTTTATCAACAATGAAATTGGGTGCCCGCGGACAATACTCGAAAATGAAGCTCCATTTCCCCTTGAAAGGAGGCTATCGCACCGATACGCTGCTATAATATGACTACCTGTGTGTGTCAACTGCTGTCGAAGTTTTACTGCGAAAGCTTGAGTTTTGAGGAAATTACGTTTAAAAAAGTGAAAACGAATACTTCACTGCACGGTACTGTATGTATAGATGTGGTTCATTGAAGCTCGATGTTGTTTAGATTTGTTGCGGGTAGATTCCGCGGATAGAGAAATCATTATGGGAAAAAGTTATTTTTCTGTAGAGAAAGATTGCTAAGTTGATGTGAGAACGTCGAAATCATGAATCAAATTGATTTATTTAAGGGGCTATTTGCCAATGCACTAACGATCAAGAACGGAATTTGCCGTTTCCATGAGAGCCAGGACAATTCGCTAACCAAACTGCGAGAGGTGAGGTGCTGCTGTCGGTTGCCTTCCTTTGTCATATCTTCCAACCATAAGAATGTAATTTCCAGGTTAACAATTACTTCAACCTGTTGATGGGCTTACGAAGGCTGTGAAGATATCGACTACGCCAGTTTCATAACATTCATGCAAGACACCACATATGGTGACGCTCAAGAGAGTATGTGAAAGAAATTGAAGTTCTGCTTCCACTTGATTGAGCAAGTAAAGAATTTGCTCCGCATTCGAGTTAAATCGACGTTCTTGCAGTTCGCGCCTGGGTTTGGCAAACCTGCACAGAATTCGGTTACTATCAGTCCACTGATTCGGATACTGCCGGGCCATTTTTCGGTGGAAAGCCGGCGCTGCCAGTACAGTGAGTTCGCTTCTCTTTCGCCACTGTGGGCTTAACAGAAAACGATGCCACAAAAGGGCTCTTAGAAGCGATGTGGGAAGGAGTAGCTGAGAGTTTACGTACGCGACAAAAATTTCGAAGTGATCGAATGGCTCGTGGCAGCTTTCGAGGGGCGATTCAGTTCTGCGGTATTCCTCGTCAAGAAGACAAAATAACCGACAAAATAACCAAAACCGCACTGTAGCAATACTGTGCTTTGCAAAATCATAGGACACCCCCCCCCCCAATAATATAAATATCTCGGCGTTTAGGAAACGCAGTTACCGCAACCTATAAAATAAGGCTCCTTTCATAGTCTGCGGTCCGTGCGGTCCGTGCGGTCCGTGCGGACAGCGCTGACAGGGTGAAGAACGTTAACACGCGCTCTGGCGCACAATCAGGGTCAACCGTCACGTTGGACCGATTTCAAAATTTTTACGACCCCCCTCTTTTAGAGTCTCGATACGACCCCCCCCAAACACTTATTATGTACTGTACCCTTGGTATTTGTGTATGTTTGCGTACTGCTTCGTACTACTACATCAAGCGTTACTAGATTGAGCGCGGTAGGCATCGTGTTCGCATTGGCGCGCAAAATCTTCCCCTCGGCCCAGCGCCGGAATGGATCGAGGCAGACTACTAATTTTCATTTAAGTGTATTTCTGTTCAACGTCAACATTTTTCATAACACTAAGGAGATTTGTAATCTACGAGCCCGCTGGTTTCAGCAAAGTACCACGTTTGTTTACAGTGTCTTCAAAATATTGCTTACTTATGGGATAGAGAATCAAAAATCCACAGAAACACTTTTTTCTGACGCCTCCTCAACAAATGTCGTATCCCAGAGCCAAAAAAAAAAACGCAAAATAAGAGCGGGTTTCTCTTTAATGGTATACATATAACCTGGTCTTGAATAGGTGCTCAGCCAAGTCAACGCTAGCTTTGATACTCACAAACTTCATGTATCATGAAAATCATGCCAACGATTCGCTTGATCTTGATCACTGGTGATAACCTCGCTGGGTTACATGCGCTACATGCCACCATCGATTTACCCGAATCCAATAAATTCAGAGGGCATAACCAGGTACTCAATACAGGTTCTACATCGACGAATGTAGCAGTATCTTTGGGAGCAACTACAACTCAGACTCAGTGGCGGCAGCCGGTCGCCAACGTGAACGCCTATTACGGAGGCAGGGACCATATGGATGTGAGTGCGACAAATGTCTATCCAGGTTTTTCTCGCAATTAACGCTCTTAAGTTCTTAATGTATTCTTTCAGTCCTCCTATATTATACTACCAAATGGAAACATCGATCCATGGCATGCACTCGGCAAACTGAACAGCACTACATCTACTATTATCCCCGTTGTGATTGATGGTACGTGATGGAGGAGGAACTTGGCTGGCGACAGGAAACACTCCAAGCAATTTGATCCCCTCAGCGCACAGTTTCTATTTTCAGGAACGGCTCATTGCGCTGACATGTACGCCACATCTCTCAGTGATCCCGCATCGATGACGGCCGCTCGGAAAACCATCTCGACTCAACTACAGCAGTGGCTTCAGGCCATCAACTGATCTTATTTCGAGCAAATAAATTCTATAATTTCAAATAATTTCTATACCGTTGAGAAAATTACTCTTGGTGTCCCTTACGACATGATTTATTCCAATATTTGCAGCATGCTGCTACTGCCTTTACGAGGGGTCGTTCTCAAGGCTCGGTCCAGGGCAGGGTCAACCATGAATTCGCACATTTCAGAGATTTTTCGGGACCCCCCCCGCTAGGGTCTGGTAATGCGAACCTTGACCCCCACACCACCATGAGACTCAGGAGGCTCCCCCAATACAACCCCTGACCCCCCCGACCGCCACCCTCGCCATCATGCCATCATGGCTGTTTCTATAGTATTTGATTCTGATACCAGTCGACACAGCCCAGCTCCGCCCACTTCTCCTCCAAAAAGGGGGTCGAGCGAGGGGGGGGGGGGGATTACTGTACAATGAAACGGCTAATTTTCTCTCCTCCCACCTATCCTACCCCACACCTGTACACCGAATACATCCTCAAAACACCGAAAAAACCATCTAATCGCCTCGCTCTCCACCTCCACTCAACAAGTTACTAATCCCACTCCACCACCCCTGAATGCGACCCTCCCCCCTTCCCAAAATCAACCACAAATGTGTCCCCCTTCGAATAGTGCGAACGCACTGGTTGGCCCTGGTCCAGGGTACACCACTGCTTCGCGTTAATACGAGCCCTCTGGTCCTCGCAACAAGACACTATTTTTAGCGATGCTTTCCACTACACCACCAAATTTCTGAACCATGCTTTCGAAATGCACTATTTAACAGACCACCCCATACCACTCCTCCTCTCATAAGTGGCATGCGTTCTCTCCATCCAGAAGTGATAGCCCATGATGTAATCTGCCTTTTCCCTTTCTGCCACTTTTATTCGGAAGAAGTTTTAGCCATAGGTTCTATTGGGCTCTCTCATAACCCACCGCTTGAGTAACCCGCTGTTTGAAGCTTCGACAGCAACCTGTAATTCTCCTATTTCGACCTAGCTACCGTTGTACTGCCAAAAACTCAAAGCCAACGCTTACAGTAGACTCGGAACCGACTACTTTGGAGCTCGATCAAATTGGAACTCGTTCTTCAGACGCACATGTGCATTATAGAACTCATACTGACAGAGGGTGACTGTGCTGCCACAGGTGTAGCCTTCAGGGTAACTTGCCAGAACTTGTGTGGAGACGAAAATATGGTTGAGACTTTTGCGAACCAATGAACGCCTGGACGGACACAGTTATGACTACGTCGCAGCTGTCGACTTCAGGTTCCCCCAGAGCCAAATTCACCAAGGAAACGATTTTGGAAATAAGGTCGAAGCCTTTGTGCACGAAAGCCAAATAAGCACAAGCCCTCGAGGTATTTCAAA